GCCCACATAGTCACACCACATGCATCTGAGATCAGTCTGTACCTGTGGGGGGGGATGAAGAGGGTGATTCACGTTCGTGATCGGTATCGGTACTCCTGCCGGGTGCACAAGTTGAAAGAAATCCTGCTGTGCCTTGTCCGCCAAGGCTGCTCTTGCCGCTGCATCAGCATGCGCAGCAAGAGTGACATGCAATACCTTCTTCCAAGCTGAAAGTGACTGCAGAATTCGAACTTCCCATGCCTGGAAGTCCTCAGCTGGATCTGGCATCTCGCGAAGTCGGTGGTTGTTGGTCCGCACCCACTGTAAGTCATGTAGTACTCTGTGTAACCACGTATGTTTGTGTATGTGATCCTTGCGGTACGTATGTACAAGTAGGCTGCGTAGTGTAGGTGTGCCATGGTGTAAAAGGCGACCTAGCAAGCGCAGCCTGTGTACTCTAAGCACTGCGTGTAGATCTGCCCGTCGTACCCTTGCTAGTATGAGCCTGTCGGGGTCAACTTCAGAGTCCTTCTGAGGGGCCCTCAAAACCTGACGGTATTTGTTGATGATCAGGTGCTGGATGTGCGCGTGCTGAGCTTCCGTGAGTTCTGGCCATGTACCTGCATTGTATAGGAGGCCCGCAAAAATAAGCGTGTCCACAAAGTGCAGAGTGGCCTGTGGTGGGAGCCCAATAGGGGAGCCAAAGACCCGTCTACGCAGTAGTGTACTGGACGACCTCACAGACGCTTCCCGATGGGCCAGCTCGGGCCCGATGGATCCCAGTTCATCTAGCTGCGTGCCCAAGTGTGGGTATGTCCTCACTGCGAGCAGAGTGAAGCGTCCTAGGAGCTCTGATTGGATCTCGAAGCGGCCTTCTCGCTCGAGCCATAACTCCCGTTTGGCACGCTTGGCGCCAATTCCTCTGAGTTGAAACAGCACCTCCGTCTTGCCTGCAGCAAAGTTGAGCCTGAGTCCTCTTCTCACAAAGCTGGCAGCTACCACCGCCGCTACCTTGGGCGCAGCTTCCAGCAAGTGCAGGGCTGCTCCTAGAACGACAATCGCACCATCATCGAAAAAAACATATTTCCAAGCCTCCTCGCATAGTGTCTGGAGCGTGCTGCATCATGTCAGACATTGATGCATGTAATGATATAGGTATACGTAGATCGAGCTCCAGTTCCTGCAGCCCCTGCTGAGCTTCCTTCACGCATGCTGCCATTACGTAGTTGAAAATTACGTCGCCTAGCTGCTGTCCTGGCACCGCTCCTTCAAGTGAGAAGGCAACTGCTGACGCTCCTGGGTACCAGAACCAGTTGCCTGAGTAGCTAGAGGCTGTGAGCGCGCGCACGTGCCGAGATATCCCTGCTTGTTCCAGTAGTGTGTGATGTTCTGCGATGTGCGCCTTGAGGTCCTCAATGGCACCTGGTGGGAGCCCCGCTGTGTGTAATATGCTGTGTAGGTCCGCATCTGAGGTGCCCAGCTGCATAACAAGCTCGCGCACTGCCCGATAAAAAGCTGAGACTGCGTCAAGCATGAAAAAGAGCGCTGACAGCTTGAGCGTCTGTGCGAGTTCTTGAAATGAACGCACAGCGAGCGCTGCAAGGTCGACTCCTCTCCCTGCAATTCCTCCATACTGCGAGTCCCCTGCATATGCAGGGAGAGCTTCTGCGAGCGGCGCCCGCAGCAGCTGTCGGTATTTTTTCCCAGGTTGGGATGATATCATCACAGACCGATGGTTCTTGCATATGGCCGGGGTAGCTTTCTTCTTCCAAATGTTCCAGTAGTTGCCCCCCTTCCATTGCAAGGGTTCCTCGATGCGGGTGCAAGCTTTAACCACCACAGGGTAGAACAGGGCTCCCAGGGCCGTGGCAAAACTTCTGAGAAGGGCTCCTGGAATGCCGTCTAAGCTGGCAGCTGAGGGCTTGGCAGTGCGGCAAGCTCTTTGGTAGCTGAAAAGGGTAGGAAGGAACACTTCATCATACGTGATATCGTGTGTGAGTTCCTGAGGGAGGGATGGGATACTTCGCGCAAATGTGTTGGCGTCGGCAACTGGCACCACCACTCCCACTTCTTCTGCCGCAAAGTGGCGCAGCCATCTGTCTGCTGCTGCTTCATGCGTGGCAGCCATGCTGCCATCCTCTAGTTCTAGGATGGGTAGGGCCCTGGTGTTCACTTTCTTGGACGAACCGATTCCCATAGCACGTAGTTTGGCAAACACCTGATCATACTGCCTGCGATCCCATGCATCCGAAACTCCCTGCACAAGGTTGTTGTAATGATGCAAGGCATCTTGCATAGTCGCATGTCGGATCAGTAGTGTAGTGTGAAAAAGCAGCAGCTCACGATGTGCTAGGGCACAAGCGCGCACTCCATGCGCATAATCCCAGCAGCACGTAATGTAGTCCCATATTCCCGTCTCCGTCCCATGCCCCGTCTGATACTCCTTTGGTCTGAAAGGGGGAGGTAGTATGATGGCCGTGACCCCTTGATGTTCCCATTTAGCAAGTAAGCGTGGTTTGCCTATGCCTCTGCCATTGCCTTGCTGCCTGCGTATGTCCGCTTCTCGGCACAAGAGAGATGCCGTTGCTTGCGGAAGGAGGAGGCATGACTGCTGCATCTGCCGTGTGCGTCTTACTAAGGTAGGCAGGCATGGCATGCGCCGCGATCTTTTGCTGCTGTGGCCACGTGGCCTATCATGTTCTGCATCTGTCGTCGCAAAATGCAGCTGCCAGGCGAAAAAGATGACTCGCAGCATGGCTCTGTGCGCTTGCAGCCCGATGTTGCGAGCTAGGCGTAAGTATATACTTCGCTCATCCTGCATAGCAAGTGTGCTGACGCTGATCCATGATTGCCGTGGTTGCCGCCCCGCTGCCGTCGTACGTACTGGGAAGGCTGTGGCCATGGCATACCTCACGTACTCTTCACATGTTTTGACGTGATCTGTACTGTGTACTGCAAAGTCGGGCTGTCGGAATTGCGAAAGCAGATGTTGGAATAAACTGACGGACACTGGATCCTTGTACATGTCAGGATCGTGCTGCACCTTGTAGGGCCTCGGTGCTGTTGGCACAAAGCTGGATGGCGGGAAAAGTAAGCATGCTGCCACCACGTTGTGGTCTGGCTGCGTGACTGTGAGGTCGATGCCGTGATCGACTCCTTGCGCAGGCACACGTATGTCAGCGGACACAGCTATGTAGTCGCGCCTCTTAGGTGTGGTGCGTGCTCCTGGTGCCGTCCAGGTACCCGCGGATCCCGATGGGTCTCCATAAAAGGTAGAAGGAGCCCATTGGGCTGTGCCCTGGAGGAACATACGAAAACTGTGTCCAGGTAGGTTTTCAGGCTCTGCATGTATGGGCCCTACATGCGCGTCCGTGTATGACCCAACTGCTGCATTGGCGTCAATCAGTGTAATCACATGCTCTGCAGTACCCCTGTGCTGTATAATAAGCTGCTGTAGTCGTTTCCACCACTGTCGTATGTGTGCTGGGGGTCGGCGCGAATGCGGAGCATGAGCAGCACATACACAGAGCGAAAGTGAAGGGGCCCTCACGGCCACGATCACGATGTCTGGCGCTGCATATAACACTTGGCAGTGAGAAGGCTGTACCTTGCATCCCTCCTGGTATTCCCAATGTGTGTTGATCCAGACAGTACATCCATCCCCTCCGGAGTCGTTAGCCTGGGCGTGCAACAGGAAGCACGGGCCAAGCTCGGATGTGCCTGTCCGCCTGAGACGCGTCTCAACTGCGCCTACTATGAAGTAGGGCCGTTGCGCAAACTGCCCCGCCAGCTGCATCATGCGGCCTGTGGCGTTGAAACCCTGAAACTTGTCGTGTGCCTGTCGGGAACCCTTGTAGGCTCGGGGGTCCAGCGAGAGCACATTGGCCATGGCCATCCAGCCCATGGCAAAGACATGTCGGCCTCGTGGAGGTCTCTTGGGGCTCGGTAAAATTTCCCGAATGCCCGTAGTGGGGACCTGAGGCGTAGGGAGAGGCATACCGTGGTTGGGTGGGTAAGCCTGTCGCATGCTGGAGTCGGAGAAGAGTAACCAAATCCAGGGTAGGGCCTTTTGGTGGGGGTCCTGATGTATAAGGGATCTCCACGCTGGCTCAATGAAATCGGGCAATACACGCATGGCATATAGACGTGCAAGCGTGTCCACGCACTCGTTCCACGGGAGTGCAGTGTGTCCATGTACATGCTCATACGCCACCACAATCACACAAGCTCGTATGATCTGCGTAAGACTGTCAAGTAACGTCTTAGCTGGCAGCAGCACGCCGTGCACATATCCTCCTTGGTAAATGCGCAACACGTCCATGTTGTCAGTGTAAAAACATATCGGAGCCTGCCTGCAACACGATGGTGCTTGCAAAAGCCAGGCTGTGGCCCAAATGGCCGCTTCTAGCTCAGCTCTCAACGGGGTTCTCGCATCAGAAGCATCCCATCCCTGCAGAGGGCCAGCAAGAAATCCTAGGAAGGAGACTCCGAAAGTGGTGACAGCGAGCACACAGAACGCCCATGCTGGTGAGCACGTCTGTCCCTGGTGTTTGAAGGTCCCTGCCGTCGCATCTGTGTATATCTTGAGATGGTCAATCTGGACCTTCGGGTCAAAAGGTACGAGACTGGCAAAGGCTGACACTGTAGAAGAATGCCAAAACTGTGCCCACGACAGCAAGTCATTGGAAAGCTGAATGGGCCATTTCTTCTCTAACAACTTCTTGGTAGAGTGGAGCGGCGGGATGGGAGAGTAAGGAGCACCTGTCGTTGATTCCACTGGATTGCTGCAAATCTGGTATCCGAGGTGTTCCGAGCAATTTTCCCTTGGCTTGTCCTCTTCACTGGGGAATGGGCAAGCTGGAAAATCTGGATCTTGGATGGGAGTATTTGAATTCAGAGCGGGCCGAGACGCTTCTGACACGGCCCCTAGCGAAAAAGTGGGCTCTCTGGTGTTGCGCTGACTGGCGGAAAAACAAGAGCCTGGGCAAAACTCGCAGGCGATTGCAAGGCAGCATGATCACTATCCTCTGCGGCAGCTCTGGCTGCCGCTTCCTCTGCTGCCTCACGGCATGCCACTTCTCCTGCACCTGCGCCCATGGTTCCTCCGCCTTCTCGATCAGCTCGTAGGACTTTGGCCCCCGCCTGTCCACTGTCCGTGTGCCGTCTAGGAGATACTGAACGTGTAGCTCTGCGCCCCAACAGGGCCGCCTCCAGCTTGGCTCGGTTGGCCTTCTGGATCTCTGCTGGCACCGGTTTGTCCTTGTCCTTCTTGGGGGTCTGCATGGCGACTGCCGTCTTGGCCGCGTCGATGGCGGCAGCGGTGATGGTCTCCATGTCCGACTTCTCCTCGGTCCTGATGTTGGCAATCTCAGTCTGGAGAGTAGCCACGGTCTGCTGGAACGATGACATGTTGTGCAGCATTTGCGCATTGGACTGCTGTATTGCTGCCAAAAGTGCTGGCATGCTGACTTCATTTGCTGCCATGACCACTGCAGCTTGCCCTCCAGGCGGTACCTGCGGATTGGGCGGGGCGGCTTGGGAGCGCGGTGTCTCCTGTCCACCAACTGCTGTGGCTTGGGCAGGCGTGCCCGAGGCCGCGGCAGGACTAGCTGTCGTGCGCTGCACTGTCGCTGTCCTGGGCGGCGTCGTGAAAGGTGAGGAACTGGCTGTCGTCCATGGTGCTCTGCTGGTTGTTCCTCTCTGCCCTGGGCGGAAGCTCGTCTGGGTTCCGTCCATCATGAGCTCGTCATCATCATCGTCAGGAACAGCAATGTTGCCTGCGATTGGCTGCTCGTCGTCCAAGTCTTCAAAGTGTTCCAGCAACTGTTCTGCTTGTGAGAGTTCGTCTGTGAGAACTTGACATTGAGTGTCGGCCGCCTCTAATTGCTCTTGTAGCAAGTGCATCTTTGCCTGGGCGTCCATGAGGCGCTTCTTGCAGCGGCCGACAAACATGCGCTGCTTCGTGATTCTGGCCTGGGGCGACCTGGAATGCATCATCTGATACAATAGTACGCTGTACTCTTCCTGCATGCGGCCCACCTGCTCTTGATCGAGGTTGAGCGCGGCCGCGCAGTGCAGCTGGCGCTCGATGGACTCCATTGTCGCGGCCAATGCCTTCCTGAAGTCTCCGAGCTGCTGCGGGTCCTGTGGCGGTTCTCGCCATCGCCGATGTGCCTGCGCCGTCTCAGGGGATGCTGGCATGGTCGGAATGATTCCATCTGGGTCATCTTCAACCTGCTTGTTGGCCGTGCTCACTGCGCCTCGCTGTGGGGGCTGCGAGGTGGCAGTTCTACGCTGGCCACGTGGGCGTGACGCCGATCTGGCTCGCCGCTCTCTCCGATCTGAAACTTGGCTGGGATGGCATTTGGCACATACCTGCGCTGCCCAGGCATTGTGGTATGCACATGCTGGACATTCCCATAGGCGCTTGTACTTGGTGACTGTCTTCCATGGCGGGGAGCGAGGCTCGTGTTCTCGATCTGAGCGATCCGGGCGTCCTCTACTGTCACCTCTAGAACGTCCTTTCGTCATGCTGCTGTGATGTCTGCCTAACAATGCACTGGCTGAGGCAATACGTAGCAAGGTCCTGGCCCTGCCTCGTTCGGCCCTGGCACGACGATGCCAGGCCGGCTCGCCTCTGTCACGGCTGGCCCTCCTGCTGCGCGCCGTGGCGGGGCACGCGGGAAGGGCGGGCGCGTCTGGCAGCAGCCCCGGGTGAGAGGTCGCCTTACCTGGTAAGGCACCCGAAATCCTCTCGGGCCGGGGCGGCGGCTGGTGAGGGGGAGAGGAGGAGGGGAGAGGAGGAGGAGGAGGAGGAGGAGGAGGAGGAGGAGGAGGAGGAGGAGGAGGAGGAGGAGGAGGAGGAGGAGGAGGAGGAGGAGGAGGGAGGAGAGGAGGAGGAGGAGGAGGAGGAGGAGGAGGAGGAGGAGGGAGGAGGACGAGAAGGAGGAGGAGGAGGAGGATGAGAAGGAGGAGGAGGGAGGAGCGAGGAGGGAGGAGGGAGGAGGAGACGGAGGAGGAGGAGGAGGAAGAGGAGGAGGAGGAGGACCAGTGGAAACCCAAGACTCGTGAACGATGTTGCAGTCCGTTGGAAAACAAGGGATGGAAAATCTTGGGCTGAGCCGGACAACGATTCCTGGGACTTCAACGCTGCGAATCACCGTTGCTGCTTCGTCTTGGCGATCCTGGATCGCACCAGAACGCCATTCCTGGAACTTCAGCACCGCGAGTCCACGTGACTGTTGCGCCCTGACGGTCCGACACCTTGCCCAAACATTATTTCTGGTACATGAACCATGAGAACCCTCGAACTTGCTGTGAACTCTAAGAACGAATCTGCGCGGCGCTGCGGCGGCAGCCACGTGTTTTAAACCACCCGCCCTCCATCCGTTAAGCTGTAGCGGATTGTTTCGGCGGACGCGAGCGGCGCTGAGGCGAGAACCACACTTTGAAAACGGCCCGCCCTCCATCCGCTAAACTCTTCCAGTGCTTTAAGACCACTGTGCGCGGCGCCGAGGCGAGAGCCACATTTTGAAGACGACCCGCCCTCCATCCGTTAAACTGAGGCAGCTATTTGCGGCGGATGTGCGCGGCGCTGAGGCGAGAGCCACATTTAGAAAGCGGCCCGCCCTCCATCCTAAGCTCGTGCAGATTTTTCAAGCTTCAGGAGCATAGATGGTGTGGAAGTCTCAGGCGAAACGCCCGGCCCCGCCCTTCCCACTGGCCTCCGGGTGCGACAGGGAAGAGTTGCTGATCAGGAAAAGGAATGGAGAGGAGGAGGAGGAGGAGGAGGAGGAGGAGGAGGAGGAGGGAGGGAGGAAGGAGAGCAGGAGGAGGAGGAGGAGGAGGAGGAGGAGGAGGAGGAGGAGGAGGAGGAGGAGGAGCAGGGGGTGGAGGGAGCAGGTGGAGGAGCAGGAGGAGGAGGAGGCGAAGGGCTCGTCCGAGGAGGGCCAGTCGAGACAACGGCGGTTCTCCCGCCAAGGCCAAACTCCTTCCGACATCGGTGCCAGGACCCCTCCCGGGGTCCATCCTAAGCCGTTTTGTCTCGGGGCGGATCTCCTCTCCTCCTCCTCCTCCTCCTCCTCCTCCACCTCCTCCTCCACCTCCTCCACCTTCTCCTCCGTAGCCATTTTGGCTCAAGATGCTTTGTTCCGCAGGGGAACAAGTGGATACCGCTAGTCCGCGGCCAGTTTGCATTCCTTCCCCTGGTCAGCCCCAGGGCGAGCACCGAGGTGGTCCGCCCCACCTCGGAGCGTCGGAGGCACACACCACGAGCCTGCGCAGGCCATGGGGCGCGGGCGCCAGACCTACTCGATTTGTGCGACCTGTGGTGGTTGGGTCTACGACTGGAAGCTGGAGAGGTCAGGTGGGTGGTGCAACAAGTGCCAGTCAGTCATGCCGGGGTGGAAGTCAATGGCCCCAGGCACGGCGGCTGCGGACAAGGGCAAGAGCACAGGCAAGGGGCCCCCCTGGCGCAAGCCGACGGCGGTCCACGGCACGCTGGCGGAGCTCAGCAGCATGCTGGAGCGCGTCGAGTCCCTCACGGCGCAGATGGCGCCGCAGGTGGACCTGGGGCCCGTCAAGGCGGTGCAGTCGCAGGTGCAGGCGGCTGCGGCGGCGGCGGCGCCCAAGAAGGAAGTGTCCAAGGAACTCGAGCTGCGGCAGGCGATCAACAAACTCAACCGCTGCCAGCTGGAGGTGGACAGCTCCGCGGCGGCCCTGCAGGAGGCGGAGGACCACGTCCTGCAGCTGCGCACTAAGAACCAGAAGGCCATCGAGGATGCAGCCGACGCGGTGCTGGAGCATAAGCGCGCGCTGGCTGCGTACCAGGCGGAGACCGTGTGCCAGGACCCCGAGCCGCCTCAGCAGGCGGACTGGCAGGCACCTGCGGTTGGGGACCTCTTCGATGACCTGGACGAGTATGAGGAGGAGGACAAGGCCAAGCTGGTCAAGTTCAAGGCAGACATGGAGGCGCTGGACAAGTTGCTGCAGGCAGCGGCAGGGCAGTTTCGGAAGTTCAGCGAGCTCAAGCAGCAGGCGGACCGTTTCAGACGACAGGCACAGAAGAAGCGTAAGACCACGGAGGACGAGACCAAGAACGACGCGCAGGAGGCCCAGGCGCCAGCGGCGTCTGGTGGGGGCTCCGCGGCGTCAGCTGCGGCGGCGGGGACGGGAGGAGCCAGCCCTAGCCAGCCGCCTCCCACGGAGGAGCAGAAGCGCGAACGGAAGGAGGTCATTGACAAGATCAAGCAGCAGGCCGAGCACAAGGCCAGGGGCGCCAAGGCCAAGACCGCCCCCGCGGCGTACAGGGACGCGGTGCGGGGTGCAGAGGCTGATAAGACTCCTGGTGGCGAGCAAAGTCTTTAGCATCTTCTTCTCGAATATCACAATGTGGGGTGGGGGCCTAAGGCCCATAAGTTCATCACGGAAGAAGGCAAGCAGAAGGATATCATCATGATGTGCGAGACGCACGTGGATCGAGGGCGGCTGGAGCAGGTACGTGAAGTGGTAGCACGAGATGGCTGGAAGCTACAGGGCACGGCGGCGGTGCCCACAAAGCGGTCTGAGAAGGGCACCACGGGGGGCGAGTTCATATTGGCCAGGACTCACCTCGCATGCACTGGATACGACCTGTTGAGGAAGCGCATCGTGGACAACGGAGACGTCGACCCGTTCAGGGGCTTCGCGGCGCTCAACGTCCACACGCGCTCGGGCAACGTCATCCTGATCTCGGCCTACCTGGTTCCAGGCGAAGGCTTCACAGGGTCGAATTACCACAGGATTCGATCCCTGTCAGGTTTCATCAGATCTCTCACGGACCCATGGGTGGTCCTGGCTGATTGGAACATCCCAGCGGACAGCATGGAACGCGCTGAGTTACCTGGCAAGCTGGGAGGAGTGGTGCTACGACCAGATGTTGGCATCACATGTGACAAAGGCAAGGGAAGCCTCATTGACTACGGCATAGCAAGAGTGGACTTCGCCCCTAGGCTCAAGCTGTACGTTCAGGGTCGTGTGCCATGGCGTACGCATTGTGGGCTCCAGCTAACGATCGAGGGCACCAAGGAGAGCTGGTGGCATCGGAAGCTAGTTATCCCTAAGGCGCTCCCTTACCAGGCGAGACCTCAGAAGGCGGCGGACCCTGACTCCAAGACGAGCAAGAGGAAGCAGGAAGCGCAGCGACGTCGGCAGCAGGCCCTGGAGGAGCACTTGCAGGAGGCGTACGAGGAGGCGATGATGCTCGAGCAGCATGTCCCCGACAGCCAGGACACACCGGTGCTGAAGATGCCCTACTGCGTCTCGGAGGAGCTCTGGGAGCAGGTCGGGCTCGTGGAGCACGAGATGGAGCTGTCGGAGGAAATGCACATCATAGGTGAGAAGATGATCACCAGAGGTACGAAGCACCAGAAGGATGAGTACCTGTTGACGCAGCAGTACGGCCGGTGGGTCGCCAAGGTGGAGGAGGCGTCCATCAGGCATGAGCAGCTGGACGAGCAGGAGGCGCAGGGATGCCAGGGGCGCGCAGCAGGCTTTGGTATACGATGGGTGCGAGCAAAACCCACGCCAGGCAGAACTCACATGCGGTATGGCCCTGCGGAAGAATGGAGTATACTGGCAGCAGATCTGGTCAGATATCAGTCACTCTTTGCGAACGGCACCGACGGGCAGCAGCAGAGAATGTGCGTGACACGCATACAGAAGCAGCTTGGAGTTCTGCGAGGATTGCCGCGGAAGGACGCCTTCAGCAAGAATGTGACTGAGGCCAGCAGCGAGATGTACTTCGACATGGCATCTGACATATGGCAGTTAGACGAGGGGAAGCTAGCGAATCTGGTGACCCAGACAGAGAAGCACTTGGCGGTGGCGTCGTCCAGATCGATGACCACGGCTCGGAAGAACTTTGCTACCTGGGCAAAAAAGGTATGGCAGACCAAGGCGGGCATCCTGCACAGGCATGTCAAGCCCAAGGACGCGCCCCGCTATGAGATGGCCATCAGAGAAGACTTCGCCACAGCTGACCCCACCATTATCATGAACACAAAGGCAGGAAAGTGGGAGACCATCTGGACGGACCCTGTGGACAGACGAGCTGACATCATTGAGCAGTTGGAGCGCACCAAGCGAAGAGCGTGGGAAGAGGACCTAGACCCCATAGACATGGACATGCTCAATAGTGCGCTCCGAGTCACATCGGCATCCAAAGCGAAAGGTCTGGATCAGCTTGGCCCCACGGATATTGACAGACTTCCTGGCCAGGCTAAGCAAGAATTGCTGGAAATATTGCAGAGGAGCGAAATTACTTTGACATGGCCAAGACAGCTATCAGCCACCAAGTGCGCGATGGTGGCCAAGCCTGGGCCAGGTGCAGGTGATCGAGTATTGGGTATGTTACCGCTACCAGTTAAGTTATGGTCGAGAGCGCGAGGCGGAGTATGTGCCTTGTGGAGTGCTGGGCTATCAGACCACTGGGACACTGCGATCAAGGGGAGCTCGGCGCTCAGGGCAGGACTCCTTCGGTCGATCTTGGACGAGACAGGCATCGAGATCGGCGCCTCGGCCATGACATTGTTGTTGGATATAGAAAAGTTCTACGACACGGTCTCGCTGGTCATATTACTGCAGATTGCGTGTACGGCAGGATTCCCTGCGGTGGCAGTCGGATTGGAAGCGATGATCTTTCTTGGACCCAGATACTTGCAGGAGCGATCTGTCATCAGCGAGGCCATCTGGCCTACCAGATCACTGGTGGCAGGATCCGCGAGAGGAGTAACTTTAGCGAAGCTTTTTCTTCATCCAGTGCTTGAGTTGGCGCATCGAAGACACCCAACAGCAGGATTGTGGACGTTTGTGGACGACACGGTAGCAAGATGCGAGGGCAGTTCACAGACGGTGGCTGAGCAGCTGCTGGAGGTGTCGACGGATATATGCACTGGATTGGTGGAACAACGTATGACCATATCGAATAAGACCACGGTGATAGGCTCAGACTTGAAGGAGGCTCGGAAGACAGCTAAGCGATTACGAATACGAGGCATACCTGCGAAGGCCAGCGGCGTGGCGACGGACCTGGGCCTGGACACTGCTGCAGGACGTAAGCGGGTAGCAGCAAAGAGTAAGCAGCGGCAGCTCAAGGCGAGGAGGAGGTTCGCGAATATCGTGAAGCTGAGGAAGATCGCTGCGCTGAAGCATGAGTCCAAGGGCCTCTATAACGTGGGCGCACTGCCGCAGGCGATCTATGGGCAGCAGACGTACGGCATGTCCAAGCAGGCGATCACCGTGCTGAGAAGGCAGGCGGGCAAAGTGGCAGGAGGCAGTGCAGGAGGTCGATGTCTGACGACCACGCTGGGCATGGAGCTGGGCCTGAGAGACCCCGCAGTTGATCTCAGACTGGGTGCGGTACGAGAATGGATAGGCCTGTGGCAGAGGTTTCCCCACATCCATCGACGAGTTGCGAAAGCATGGCCGTTCATCAAGGCGCGTCTCCACAGATATGGCGACAAGAGATGGCGAGCTGTACGGGGCCCCACAGGAGCTCTGATGGCAACGCTAATGGATGCTGGATGGACACCCTCGACAGCCACTCAATGGCATCGACCTGGACCTGATGAGTTGGAGATGTGGGAGCTGCCGACCTCCGAGGACGGCAAGTTCGTGGCCACGGGCTGCTTCCAGGAGCTCCTGGACGACCTGGAGGGCGACCTACGCAGGGACCTCTGGACGGAGGCTGCCAAGCACGAGTTTGGTGACAACTTGCAGGAGGGCGGAGACCTGTGGCCCATAGTAATGGAGCAGCGCAGGTTCGAGCGCAAGGGGATGCTAGATCAGCTGGCGCTCAACGTGACGGTGGTCGCTGGCGGCCAGTGGCCGAGAGTCCGCTGCAGGGAAAAAGGATACGAAGTAACAGTCGATTGCCCGAGATGTAAGCAAGCCCCTGAGAGCTTGAAGCATAGAATATGGGAATGTTCCAGGAACACTGATCACAGCGATTATAGCAAAACTGAGCCTTTGGTAGTTGCGGCTTTAGCACAAGCAGAAGCTGAGCCAGCTTTATGGCTCCGTGGTCTCCCCCCTACTCGCCTCACTCACCCCCTCTTTGACGATGGGCGGCTGGAGGGGCGGGAGCTTAGGCTGGGCGGGGAGGGGGACTTTGAGGCCTCTCGAGGAAGCGACGGGGTTTTAAAGGTTTACGGCGACGGCTCGGGGGGGCGATGTTCGGACGACCCCAGACGAAGGAGATGCGGCTCTTCCATCTGCTCCCTGAGGTGGTCCCAGGGCGAATGGATTGTCCAGGCGGCGTTGGCCCGTCCCCTGCTCGGAGCCCGCCAAACCGTCCCGCGCTCTGAGATCCAGGCGTTTTGTTTAGCGTTAGAAGAGATCCCTGGGCCGTTCGTTTTCGTTACTGACCACTTGTCGGTCGCTAAGAAGTGGCGTTTTAAAATGGATAACCCGAGCCCGACTGGGGCTAATGAAGATTTGTGGACCAGGGCCCGCGTGTCCTGGAGTTCTAGGCCAGATACCGCCACTGTCGAAGTGCAGTGGACACCCTCTCACACGGATGAATCCCCTGAGCTGCTGACTACCGAGCTGCAGTTAGAGACTGCGGTTGGTAATGCGGTAGCTGATATATGGGCGGGAGAGGGGGCGGAGCTGGCTTGGGAGTTCGGTTTGGTTGGGGAGATCCCGCAGACAGATAGAATTGATGCCATTGCCAGTTTAGTGCGGCGGCGCGCGAGACGAGCGTTGGCCGACTCAGCGAGTGCAGAAGTCCAAGCGAAGAATGGAAGGCAGGAGGTTGCGAAGCGACCCCCAGCTAACAAGTGTGCGGTAGCAGTTCGAGAGTCGGCCCACCGCCTTGAGAAGTCGGGCACGGGTTGGAGGTGTGCGGTGTGCGATCAGGTGGTGCCAGGCTCTCGACTGCTCAAGTTCTCGGCCACCCCGTGTGCAGGCAGGGCCATCCCAGAGGGACTGATGCCCCCAGATGTGATTCAGGCCCCCAGAAGTTTCGTGGCGGGGGCCTTTGTGTTTCACGAAACTCATGCTATGTTTTATGTGGACAAGTGGTTCATGCATGCCTGCAGCAAGTGTGGTCGTTACGCTACGGTAGATGGTAGGCACATCAGCAAGCGATGTGAGGGATTGACCCCCAAGGGGACCGAGAACCTCACTCGAATTCGCAAGGGTATATATCCCAGGAGGGAGGGCCCCCCCAAGCCGTAGTGGAGGCTATGGCGGCGCGTGATCGTGAGAGGGTGGTGTCGTCTCACGTCGGTCGTTCGTGCGAGGGTGAAGCGCCAGGGGGCCCCTCCCTCGCCCCTCCCCCACCGCCCGTCCCAGCGGAGGCAAGGCCCGCCGCCCAGGAGAGTGCTGCACCGCTTCGGAGTGCACAGGCTCTACGACGGGAGCCGCCCCGCTTATCTTTTGGGGCGGTGGGGGGAGGAGGAGATTCAGGCAGTTCAGACTAACCCCATAGGTGGGTAATTTTGTGGAGGACAGAGGTCCGCTCTCATAGCATTCCCACAGCATTCCTCCACCTTCTCCTCCTCCTCCTCCTCCTCCTCCTCCTCCTCCTCCTCCTCCTCCTTCTCCTCCGGATCCAGCCGGAGCGACGAGAAACACCCAGAAGCCCCAGACAGGATGCGAAAGCGCTGGGGGGGGGGTCGCCGCTGCCTCGATCGGCCCCCCCCTCGGAGGGAGGAGGAGGGCGCAGGGCTGGGGGCAGGCTGGGGCCGGTGCCGGCGCGCGGGCCGGCCCCCCCAGGTGTCACGAGCCGGGCGACGGCGAGGAGGGCTGGCGACTGCCGGCGCGGCTGCACGTGACGGTGAAGTTCCTGGGGGGGGACGGCGACCCCTCGGACCGCAAGGAGCGGAGGGCGTCAGCCTTCCACCGGCACCGGTCCCGGCGGGGGCGGACCTCGGGCCCGGGATCCCGGGCCCCTTTTTGTGGCGTCGCGAGAAAGCATGGCGGAGGGCTTCGTTGT